CCCGCCCAACGCCGTTTGCGCCAAAGATGTGCCACATTAGCCATTATAATCAGCGCTCAGACGTCATGACGCAGGCTAAAAGATGCAAAAACAAAGGATATCAAAGACACAAGTTGTAAAAGGAGAGGGAAATCCCTCAGAGAACAGACGAGGTGGGCCGCAGCCGGCTTGGCGCCATTTGCTTCTTGAAATCCAAAGACCAAGCAGAACACCCCTTAATAGACCGATCCGACTGTCTCATCGGCGACCGACTGCGCCAAACAAACTGCTGCGCCTCATCCAGCAGATGCTGATCGCCATTCGGCAACGGATAGAAGCTGACATCTTTGCACAAAGCGCCAAAGCGCGTCGCAAGGTCGAATACCCCCCGGGCCGTGAGATCCCGACCACCCACGTTCGCAGACGGATAATAGTAGCGTGGATCGAGATAAAGCAGCACGCTATTCCACATCGGAAGCTTCTCGGATAGAAGCCGTCCCGCGGCCTCGTATTGTTTTAGCGTGCGCTTCGGCACGCCGGTCTGCGTGTGCACGAAGAAGAAGATCTCGAAGCCGACGCTGCGGATGCGGGCGCGGGCGGTTGCGCTGAGCGTGTCCAGGAACTCTGCTAATCGGTCGAGATTGAAGGAGTTGCGGAGGAAGAGCGTGTGTGTTGAGTATAGATAGTCTTCGGCTTCGTCGTGGAGTTGGCGGTTCACCGCTAATAGCTTGCGCGCGGTGCCGTCTTCGCCAACCCAGTGAGGACTCATTGAGATTGCGCGGTATTGGCCGCGAGCTGTGAAGGTGTTGCCGTGATCGGCGAGCACGATCATTGGCTTGCTGACTAGGTAATCATTGGGTACGTCTAGTGCATATTCGTAGATCTTGAGCCGGAGTTCGGCTGGGAGTTGGAGGAGCCGCGATGGTGATGTCGATGTTGGAGTCGGAGTTGGCCTCATAGCTGCTTAGCTAGAAGAAAGAATGAATGTCGAGCTTCTTGCGAAATACGGCTGTTGATCCGATTTAAAAGGCAGTGGTACCACTCGGGTGTATACGTCGCCACCGCGAGAAATTTTTCGATTCGTCGGAAAAAGTCAATGCGGAATAAAAATAGAGGTCTGTACTTTGGACACAGTACTCCTAGATGGCCTTGCATCCCGAGAATGCAAAGAATCAGACCATGCCGACCTATGATACGAGGAGCCGAGTATCTGATCGGCATCTCGATGCCTATAGATATCGCAGCCACCACGTATACTTCACCGCATGTTACAATCCCGATCAAGCTACGGAGTACAGCAGGAAGCTTACTAGGACACTCTAGGTGACTTTTCCTGGGTATGCTTTGCCAGATTTTGATATGATAACCATGGAACTTTGGTTGTATGAGTCAATCAATGTTGTCCTTAGTGACGGTATTAGGATCCGATATTCGGAGTATAGAAAAGTCATCTGTCTTTCTTACATTCCTTTTTGCTTTAGACCTATGACTAGCTGTATTAGATATGAGGCAAGGAGAAACAACGCCAAGCAACGTTGAGGACTTTCCCAACACACGTGCAATCGATTTGCTCTAGGCCTCAAGTCCTCCTAGGCAACATGTAAGAAGTAGATTGCCATGGACCCATCTCTGCAACATGCAAGTATGGGTCGAGTATAGGAAAAGATGATGCAAAGCTATCATTCATTGTGTCATTCTCTACTAAGTTAATTATCTTTTCTCTATGTTGCAGTGAATGTTCGTACCTTCCGAAGTTATACATATATACTTCGTACAGATGTCACCGCCTAGTGATATCTGGCGAATCTTCCCCCAAGGCTTCATCGTCTGTTCCAAGGCCATGGAGCACATTCAAATAGTCATTCTACAATAATAAACTTGAAATTAGTTAATGCCGACGTCCAAGTCTCCATTGCCGACTGAATCAAAAACATATCCGCAAGGGGCCAACTTAACGGTATCAGCAGCCATCCAATCCCATCAGTCACTTCTACTGCCCCTTTTCTGTAGCAGACTTTGCTAAGAGATAGCATAACTAACCTGATACGGAAAGATGGTGCGAGCCCAGGCCTATCAGGCTCTTTGGGCAGGAAAAAGTGCCCAGCCTATGTATGTAACCCAAGAAATATAGTTACCAGTAGTCGATTGGATCATCCACAGCCAAGCAAAAAGCCGAGTCTCCAATCTCCAAAAATTCAAGATGCAATCTATTTGCTATGGAAAACTGTCCGAAAATAGGAATAATGAAGTTCCCGGATCATCGCTGTCTATACACACCCAGTGACCAAGCTGCCCGCAGAACAGCCAGACCCCAAGCCATGCCGATACTATCTCGTAAGACATTCAATTTGCTACCCTTAACCTCCCTCCACCCGACAGGAACCTCGGCCACAGGGATCCGAGCGAACTCAGCCAGCATGAGCATCTCGACATCAAAGATCCAGCCCTCGGAATGCATGTACGGCACGATGTAAGGTAGGGCACTGCGGGAGAACAGCTTGAACCCGCACTGCGTATCCTTGACAGTAGCCGTTTTAGGAGGCGTCATAAGCCACAGGATCAAATGGAACGAGTGCATCAAGAAGTTTCGAAGCTTGGATCGCTATCGAGCAGTCAGTAATCAATCGCAAGCCTTCCACAACCCACAACCCAGATATCAAATCCCCATACCTTAACCACAGCCTCACTCCCAACCATATGCGCCCGCGACCCAACAGCAACCGCGCGCCCCTTCGCATCCTCCACATCCCGACAAGCCCCAACAAGCTTCCCCAGATCCCCGAATTTGCTCGCCCCATCCGCATCCGCAAAGACAACATACTGCCCCCGGACATGGCGCATACCGTGCGTGACCGCGCCGCCCTTGCCGCGGTTATGCGTCAAGGTCACGACGCGGATCGTGCCAGACGGGATATGAACGCCCTCCGCAGCCTGCGGCGTCCACGGACCCGCGTGTCCCTTGGGGTGGAGAGAGAGCTGGTGGTCGCGCGCGAACCGGAATGCCACTTCCTCCGTGCGGTCTGTGGACCCGTCCGAGACAAGGATGATCTCCCAGCCGCGGTCTGAGGCCGGGCCCGCGGCGTCGCTGGTGGTATCCACGTTCGGCTTGCGTTTGCGCATTGAGCGCGTCTCCATTGTAACTGGGCTGCTGGCCCTGGCGAGGGCGCTGGCCGTGTCCCCGTACATCTGCTCCAGGTAGTTGACGGCTTCCTCCAGCATGCCGGTTAACCGGTCTTCCTCGTTGTAGGCTGGTACTACGACGGACATGAATAGCTCGGCCGGTGCGATTGTGTGGGGTGTGCTCTTTTTGGTTTGGCTTTCGAGCCAGCAGGGTAGGGGTTCGGGGTCTGTCACGGATCCATCTTTGGCGAGGGTTCTATACTTCTTTTCTTCTGGGAGAGGTTTTCGAGGGACTGGCGCAACGAAAAATATAAATAATGAGAACTATGCGATAGCAAGCTGGTCAGTAACTTTCAATTGGGCTGCGCGTGTCTGGAGTGTCTCCGCGCGATCTGGTACAAGCGGAGTTGGGTAAACGTGGACTCACCAGGACAAATAGTCCTAGCAAAGTAACTAGGGCAGCGACGAGTAAGACCTGGACTGGGATTTCCACCGCAGTATTGACGCATTGGCGACAGACCTCGCCCCAAGCTGCCGCCATTGTAGAGAGTGACGAATTGGACGTCAGATGCGGAGACGGAAGAGGTGCGGATAGGGAGGGTGAGTGATGCCCGAAGGGAGAAGGCAAGCACTTAGGTCGGAGAGAGAAAGTGTTTATTCATAGAGGTAAAGCAGAATGATCCTCGCCATTTGAAAAGAGAGAGGGCGCAGAAGGGAGGGGAGGAATGTTGTAAGTCGATAGTCGCCAGCTTGTCCTTTTATCAGCAGCTCAACGCGCAAGCCAATAGATCCACATCTAGGAGCCACGCTGCGTAGACGCTCTATTTTTACAATGTTTACTTATTATAGGTTCTATTATGATCTATTTTTCATATTCTGTTACGGTTCGCGTATATTGTAGCTCATTTACCTCTTTATACGCGTTTACCGCGAATCGCATAGATCGGTCAGCTTGTAGAATGGACATTGGCTCATAAGAGCTGCTTCCTGCTCTATCACATTGCTCTTTTCTTTCTAGATATGCGTCTCGTAAATGTCCTTCAATGGACAAAGCTAGAAGACTGTCTGTAGCAAAAGAAATTGACCCGGAGAGAACATGATCATGGTGCCCGAACACTCTTTGCCGGCCCTGCTATACACAATCCATAAAACATCGTGAGTAATGAGACGGGGGAGAAGGACAAGGGGATTGACACTGAAAGCTTCCAATTTTAATTCAAATATTTTTGTTCCCTCATCTCAATTTTCCTTCTTCCTGCCATTTTTCCTCCCTAGTTTTGTGCCGGAGTCCTCTTTTATTCTCGCAGCAATCCTTCGCTCCACTGGCAAGTTTGAAACAACGCATCGAGAAGCCAGGGATGACTTCTTCCTAATAGCTCTGAATGTGCTCCTTCTGGATAGAAGAAGTCCGCAGTAACCCGAGTCCAGAAGGGATTGAAGCAGGCCTCTTGGCTTCTAACAAGACCAATCCAACTGCGGTGGAAACCGACTAGAAATGCTGGCCAGAGTTGGCAAGTAGTATGGAATCAGACGGACGAAAGAGCATTCCGGGGCAGGGATCCTTTCCATAAATATGGCAATATATGCGACAATCCTTGGACGGTCCAGTCATTGGAGAGAGGTCCGGGTGGATGCAGGCCTTCCAGGACAGAAAGTAATCCGAGATCTGATATCTGTCGTATATGTAGTCCTGGTGACTCATGAATTTCCTGTCTGGTAATAACGCAAGAGAATGGTCCCTATCTGGCTTCGTGTATGGAAAGGACCGAGAGAACGATCTGAAGGCTTGAGCACTCCATTTCGAACAAGAAAAAAAGAAACTCCAAGGCTTGACCAGCGCGGACCCGTCAGTACGCGCAGCAACGTCGTAACGGAACCCACAGAAGTCCCCAGCTGCATTTTCAAACATCCTGCATTTCTTGATTGGAAGAAGGTAGCTCAATACCTAGTGTATTAGGATTGCCGTAGACGTAAGCCGGTGATTCTGCCATTGACGCAAATTCCTCTGCTAATCGGGTGGGTGTGAACCGTCGCGTCTGATCGTATGTCATCCAGCGGGTGAACTAGTATGATGGTCAGTTTAACTGTGCTGATAGGAACAAGGGAGACAAACAGTTGCGATCCGCACTCCAAGCCAAAGACATCGGTGTTTTCTGGGAATGACTGTTGAAGGTTCTTCTGTTGATGGTCTGTTATCTTCTGTAAGAGCCCCATCGAAGAACCCTTCTGGGTAGTAAAGCCGGCTCCATGCCTGTCCTCTGATCAAAAAGTCCTCTGGTAGCTGGTGTGTAGTTGAATCGTCAAGAAGCGGGAATGATTCGTCTTCGATCTTCGAAATGATCGTGTCAGAGCCGAATAAGGTGTTTAGATAATTTGCAAGCAGGGACCACGGAACTAGCGGTTCTAGCCGTTGTATAGCAGCTGGGTTGAGTGTAAGAGACCACACAAATGCCATAGAGATATGTACACTCGGGTACATGTTGGGATCACCGACTTGCCCGAGCATCACAATTAACGTGTGAAATGCGAGAGAGCTCGCCCGGAATGCAAGCTGAGACGATAGGTCGCTATATGTGTCGGGAACGGGTATGTTCGCACCCGATGCCCACTTCATTGCTGTTAGGCGTTCTTCTGCCGTAGGATTGCGCGACTTCAATGTGAAATCTTTTTCCATCATTCCATTTTTACTCCCATATTGAAGTATTGCGCAGATATTGCAAGACGTGAGTAGGACACCTTTCTGCCCGCGCACCCGGTTAATTTCCTTGCGTAGAATAGTAAGAAAACCCTTCTCCCGAGAAACGAATTCCTCAACCGGAGCTTGCATGAAAAGCGTACCGTGAGTAGTCACGAACGAGGTAATCAAATCCCCTTTTTGAGCTGGCATATTCATAAGAGGAGTGACCAGCTGAATCATGCTATCGAGAGCATTTGGGAAGGCGCGCACGCTGATCAATGCTTTCGTGTAGTGAAAAAACTGCTGCAGAATGTCCGGGCGAGCTAGAATAGCAAGATGGTGCTGAATACGGCCATTTTCCGGACTTCCGTCTGCGTCCTGGTTATACCAATACCTCGACACCCCTGCCCAGAGTTCACGGTCCTTCTTGTCGAATTCTTCCACCGCCATGCGGTACCGTGCCAAGTCACCCAAGCACTCGACCCAGGTTTTTCTAAAGTCTGGCACACTTTCAAGGAGCAGCGTTATCATCGAGTATGAGAGATAAATGAAGTCGAGCATATACTCCATCGAATCGGGGAGTTTCTGGCGTAACAGCTCTAGGAATGAATGCACGCCATAGCGCCACATGCGCGCCGGCATCGCGTACTTCTCAGCTAGCTCTTTAAGAACAGGACCAGCAGACGGGTGCCGGGAGGCGAGGAAAAAGTCATGATGTTCGTAGAGTAGTGTTCGGTGTAGCGAGACGAGTGTCTGCCACTGTCCCTGTGATAGCTTGGCCTTCGATTGTGCCTGTTGTCTATCGGTTTCGATGCACTTCTTTTCCACATTGACAACGCCGGTATAAATCCCCCGCACTTCGTTAATCAGTTGCTCCTCGGTGATGGTGTGCGTCTCCAGCTGCCGAAACATTCCATGAGGTTTTGCTTCCTGAGTGACTGCCTCTCCCATCTTCACATTTTGATTCATTATTTCGTCATTTTTCGTGTACCATGACTTCTGCGCCTGCGCTTGATTTTGCATGGTCTGGGAAGGATTCTTGATTTCAACGGCATTTTGACTGCGCACAGCAACGGGTGTTGAATGTGATCTTTGCAAATCTGGACGTGTCGCAAAGCCTTCCCGCGCACTGATCTTGATTTTTGGATCTGCGGGGTCATTTATACCGTGAGGCACGCCGGCCTTTAGCTGCTGAGAAGCCGGTCTTCGAGATGAACTTATCGCAAAGCCTTGAGCTAATTGCGATTTCTCTTCTTGCCTGGGCACACGGATCTCAATTTTTGAATCTGCGGGGTTTTCATTTATGAAGTGAGGCACGCCGGCCTTTAGCCGCTGAGAAGCCGATCCCGATAACCGCCGAGACTTTCTAGAGACCAAGGAGCTGCCCCGACGACGAGATTTGCCGACATGCCCTGCACACGGGCAAGTGGGGCTCCTGAGAGCTCGCATGTCGTGACTACTACGTGTTTCCACAGTGCAATCGTCTCCTAGGACGCCAGTCGACTTTGGTCGAGCACTGGATATCGGCGAGCTGGCCGAGCAGCAGCCATGGGTACACATCAATTCAGAGATCAAATCTTCCGACAATAGTCTTTTCTTAGATCGCCTGTATAAACGGTTAAGGATAAGCAACAAAAGCTGGGGTCGCAACATGCCTACCTAGGTGACACGTCGCTACGGACAACTCTATCTGAGAGTCTTGTCTTAGCATCCAGCAGGCTGTAAAAATTGCGTCTCGTCAGTCTTGCCTCCTTACGGCACAGCTTGTCGCCCATTTTCACTAGGGACAATTAGTTGATCGTTTGAGCTTTGCGAGTGGGCAACGTACCTGATAAGAAGAAGAGATATCCCAAATCTCACATATTGTCTTGGAGATCGGGCAAAGACATAGAAGAGGGTTAAATAGTTTGTTCGGGCTAAATCGAAAGGTAGTGGCGTAGTGGGCAGCTGGGTGTCGGCCTGCGTGCCGATCATCATGCGCCTATCATTCTCGTATTTTACCATACCCAGGTATGAACTACCGGTTGCCTAATGAATTTATTGCTTCTATCCCTTTTCGCCGATTTCCATGCAACTGTATATTGGAACGTTCAAATAACCCTGAAGGAGTTAGCCTCTCCCCTGGTGCCATGTCACTTTCTTAATCGCGTTAGGGGAAGCAGACAGGTAATAGCCGCCCCAAGCATCCCAGATCTATAACTTCCGCCTCACTTTTTATGTACGAATCAAATATCATTGATCTGCAAGTGCTTAGGAAATATATCTTATTCGAAACATTTGATTACAATCAACAGTTGTAGAGTTCAGGTCTACCCCGTCATTGCCCAACAGCCCCCCTATTGTCTCCCAATATGTCAGATACGGCATCTTACGATTTGGGAAACCTTCGGGCCTAGGAGTGAACACGGGGTGCCCTTACAGCGCTAGGACATTGTCTGCCTGGTCACCGCTATTTGGCGACCACACCGGTTCTTGACCAAGCTTGAGCATAGACCAGGGCGCCTTCAGCCCAAGAGCCTTTGTTTAGCTTTGTTTAGCTTTGGTTTGCCCGCCTGGGCACTGGGATGACCCCGGTACTTTCGCATTGAGCACTATAGATTACGACTTTTCCTCTTTCTCCCTAGAATGAGGCAATTCTTGAACCGGGTCTTTTAAGTTATTAGTGTTTAGGGCTCATGTCACGCTCTTATTACCGGCATTGGTATTAATCATTAATCATCAGGTCGAGATTCCTTAAATATCCGGTGACTGGCAATCATGCAACCGCTCACGGAAGCCGACAGAATATCGGACCACACAGCCTTGAATTGTTAAAACGCCTAGGTGATGGCTATACTTAGACGGGGTTGAAGCTATAGACAGGGGTTATACTGCTACCTAATATTTCCTATCTATCTCCATCTACCTAACCAAGTCAAGATAGTTACATAGTTCTTAACTTAGAAACGGCTTTATCACTCACATCCAACATACACTAGCTACCGGGCCTACTACAAATGTGGATAAACCGGGCGAAAATACTCCGTAGGCTACAAAATACTCAACATCAGCCACCTGTCATTCAAATCTCTCTACAACAGTACTTTGAACCTATCAAAACCAAAACAAGTGGCTTAGGATGACGTTAGTCCATTTCTGCGTTTCAGAAATCTTAGGCAGAGCTGCCTAAGCCTATCGCGTAAGCGCCCGTATGTTGTACTGATTGGAGGGTGTTTAAGGTACCTGTACTTACTTCGTATGAAAAACAGCATGACCTGCATAGGATGTAGTCAGTTTCAATTCTATTCACTCCCCAATAAGAGATACCTATTCCAATATAATGAATCAACATGTTGTCCAATCCCGTGCCACCCAATACCAACCCGGGTCGCATTTTACAGCGAGGCAACTTCCGCGCTCCACTAACCCCCGAACGAAGGGATCCCGCCCGTTAATTCTACCTCCCTTCGAGGGAATCAACTTCAACGGAGCCGCTGCAAGGGAGTGGTGAGGTGATATTACTGCAAGCCACACGGGAGGAAGAAGGCAGGAAATACCTTGATTCGTCGCCCGTACCTGCCATCACCCGGGTGAAGGGCTATTTCTCGGTCCGGCTTCCCTAGTCGAGACATTCTATGTACGTACCCAGTTGACGCCGACATCTAAAATGCTAGTGTAACAAGCTTGCATGGGATATGCTCGTTGAGCTCTAGCGTTTGAAGCGGGGAAGATGGGCTGCAGATTTCACCCGGGTGAAATAGTTACTACGCGACTTCTAGAGTTTCGGGATCTGCATGGATAAGGGGTGTGTGCTTGGCTACAACCTGGGTTTGATGGTGCATGTCGCACCCTGTGTATCTCGGCGCCCTGTGCATAGGTCTATGGCTATCGGCGGATTCACTCTAGGCAGCGATGTAGCTATACATACTGTTGACCGCTGCTCCAGGCTGCTCTGTCGGGTGAAATAGTCTTTCAGCCACATGCAGGTTTCTTTTTACCCAACAGAGCTCGTGTGAGTTTACTTTGATAGCCAATCTAGTATATTGACCAACAAAATAACGAAGGAATCACTTCTTAAAGGGCTAAAAGGCCGGGAATATGTTCTCAAGTGGTAGACTCAAGATGAATATATATTGTAGAAGATAAAATATGTAGACGAACCTACGCAATAAAAGGTAGAACTATATAAATTCCGAGACTGATAGCTCCAAAGTGATGAACGGGTTCTATGATTAATTCATTATTTAAAACAGCAATTTCTCAAGAGCAAAATTAAGTAAATACTTACAAGGAGCTTTAGCTACAATATATGCGATATCCGAAATACATTCAACGTGTAGACACGAAAAGAGGTGAAATCAAGACTGAACGACGTCATCGAAGCAACATTTGAAAACAATGATTCACACGTCCACTACGCGCTGTGTCCAAAACACCCAACCAAGTCTCACACATAAACCAACTCAATTGACAGCTTAATATTATCTAACCCGAATTAATGAACTCCATCCGCCTTGCCGCGCGATACCTCAAATCAACGCAGCCCATCCCCACACACCGACCAACCACCAGCATCACACAAGCCACAGCAAAAACCGCCAAAATGTCAACATTCACACTCCCCGGCTCAAATCTGAACGTGAATAGCATCCCAGATCTAAGCGAGAAAGACCTCCTCTCATTCCCAGCCTTCAAAACCTGGATAACAACCCTCCAGCACTCCCTCGCGCGACAAGAACACCCCTCACACGAGTTCCACAGTGACCCATACGTACTGCGCAAAATCGACATTCAAGCCGTCGACCGCTTCGGTGGCGGGCGATTAGGCTTCGTCAAATTGAAAGCGGATGTATCGAATAGCCAGGGCGAGACTCTGCCGGGTAGCGTATTTCTGCGGGGTGGCAGTGTCGGCATGTTGGTGAGTAAAGTTTTGTTCCATTTCTACTCGATAGGAGGTTTTTTCCTTGATACTCTATTTTGTAGAGATCTAGAAAGAAAAAAAAAAGAAAATATTACGCCCCAGCCCCACCATTCGAAAATATATGGTTTGTTCTAATTCTATGTATAGCTCATCCTCCACCCAAATGATATACCAAACCCGACTGAAAAGGACAAGCGCGTTATCCTGACCATCCAGCCTCGCATTCCAGCGGGCTCGCTGTCGTTCGCGGAGATCCCGGCTGGGATGCTTGATGATAGTGGGACGTTTGCTGGCGGTGCGGCGAAGGAGATCCACGAAGAGACCGGGTTGCGGGTCGAGCAGGGCGATTTGATTGATATGACCTCGCTGGCGCTGCAGGCTGCGCAGGAACCTGGCTACGGTGAGCGCCTGCAGGCTGCGGTTTATCCGTCTCCTGGCGGGAGTGATGAGTTTATTCCTTTGTTTTTGTGTCAGAAGTCTATGCCGGTAAAGGAGATTGAGGGGTTGCAGGGGAAGTTGACGGGATTGCGGGAATCCGGGGAGAAGATTACGCTTAAGATTATTCCTTTGGCGGATCTGTGGAAGGAGGGGATTAGGGATGGGAAGACTCTGGCCGCTTGGGCTTTGTATCAGGGGTTGAAGCAGGAGCGATTGCTCTGAGGAATAACGTGTACGGGATATGGCGAATTTGCTGGTAGATTTGTATCTTATAGAGGTTTGTTTGTATCAATGTATGCAAGCCAGTCAGATATGAACAATTACTCGCTCACAACTTCCATTTCTTTGCGAGTTCAATGCCCTCGGCTAGGGTTCCGATCCTGGCATCAATGGCATAACCCTCTTTTTCAAGCTTCTTTAACTCGTCGAACAACGATGTCAAAGGAATAGTAAAGCATTCAATGAACTCGTTATCCTCGAGCTCAGGCTTCGGGTTCTTGTTCTCGGGAAGAGACATATCAACCCGGACGTGGACCATATGCAGGTTGGTATTGCAAAGCCCTGGGTCTGATAACCACATATGTTTGTCAGCTTTAGCTTTACAAGAAGTAAAATAACCCGCGAGAACAAAACAAATCCCGTAGCAATCTCACGTACCGTTAAACATAACCGGACTAGTCTGCTCCGCGACGCCAACATAACCAGTCTCCTCCTTAAGTTCTCGAACGGCACATTGCTCAGGCGTCTCGCCCGCATCGATAAGCCCCGCAGGAACCTCAATGACAACAGCATCAATGGGAGGGCGGTATTGCTTCTGCAGAAGCAGCTCCGAGCCAGAATCCTTGTTCAAAATAGCGACGATCCCAACGCCATCAAGATCAATCCCGTCAGGACGAGTCTAGGAAAACGCGGTTAGCATCAAATCCGAAGTCTAATTTCAAACGGAGGCTCTGATAGATTTTTGAGTTAGATGGTGACCAATGGGTCCGATACACATCGCAAGGCAACCGGTCATGTGGTTTTAGTTGATACAGCGCCAGGCAACGCCCGGGTTTATGCCACCTGTTGAGGTCCCGGGAGTCGACTGGGGAGCCCCACTAATGCTAGTCCCCGTTTCTAGATTTAGATGAGGCCGGATCTTAGTTGGGTAGCTTGGCTTTCGTGACAGTCATGCAGACAGGTGGATACCTGCGATAGGTGCGATACATACATATACCCCAGACATCTACCAACAGCGCGCATAATACAATAAGCACAGAACAAGGGATAGGTCTTACCGTGCGCTCAGCTGATTCCCATGTTCGCTCGACACCCAGGGGGTCGGTGTATGTTGTCTTCACCATTCGAGCCCAGCGGGCTTCGCTGGGGTCCTGTTTGGTGAGACGTGTCAGTCGTGCATTGGCGCTTTTTTGGTGATATCCTCCGCGCTCTGTCTATATAATGGACTTGGGATTCGCTGAAGAGACCCAAGGGAGATTAGAAAAACGTACCAATGGTCCCCGCGAAATGAGTTTCGACTTGGCCTGTACGCGAGCTGACATTGTAATGAGTTGGCGGTGGTTCAGGTTGAAAGAGAGATTCAATTCGATGAACTCCATACTAGACTGACGTTGCTCGATCGACCAATAGAGCGGGGGCGGGGTTAGCGCGGGGTTAGCCCTTATCTTATCAGTCTATGACTGCAGTAAGGTGTCCGGTACATACCACTTCCGCACTATCAAGATACTTGCTATTTGCTTTGCTTTTATTTCATCCAGCTGCATGTTATTCAGCGCACTGAATAACCCCCGTCCTGACCTCGATCAGCATTTTGGCACTCATCGCAAACCCCGTCCTCAAGCTTCAAATTTTCTAATTATCCCCTATAAACTGGCAAAATTCGGCCTCTTAGCTGCTGTGGCTCGTCCGTGGTATATATTTTGACTTCAGCATGGTAGTTCTCAACACAGATGACCCTCAAAGCAAATATTTTCAATACCAACTAACGTCACATGTAGGTAGGCACAGATCAGATATGAATTGATCGGGCCATAATTGAACGCCCACGTAGGCGTAGCTGTGCCCCGTCAGGGTCCATGGGTACATAAATGACCTGGAAGTACACATTCTTTTTTGAAATTTAAACCGATTCCTATTCTCCTACCACCAAGCAATAGCATTGATAGCGCTTATCGCAATGGTACTTGAAGTACAAGATATCGCCGCTCTTGAGCTGTACGAAGCCGTCGGGGAAGGTCGCATCGACCGCGTTGAATCTCTTCTAGCAGCCGGCGTCGACCCAAATGCACGATTCGACAACCTAGGTTCCGTTTTCACAGGAGTCGCCGAAGACTGGGCCAGCGAAGACAAAAGTGCCAGGCCTCCTTTGTTCAACCCCGACCAGACTGAACAACCTTCCCTTCGCCGAGCCACGGGCGAGTCCGAAGGTTCATGCAGCTATCTCGATAAACCCAAGGCCACGCGTCTTATGGATGCCCTGCGCAAGCATGGTGCAGACCCGTATGCGCTATATCGGCAGCCGATCCTCAAATATCGATATGTGCGTCTTTATCCCGGGCAAACAAGAGACGAAGAGGTATATGACGAGGCGACAGACCTTGGTCAGATATGCTTCGCCCGCAGGGGAATCATGGAAAAAGCCCTCCGACTGGAACGTAAACGGCGCAATCTCGAGCAAGGAGTGTACGATCCCAATGGGGACGAATTAATCGGCGATTTCGAAGGCAGTCTCGATGATGTCATTGAGTATCTAGATCTTCCTGTCAATTACGGCGTGCGCAGTGTCATCCATGCACTACTAGAGGGCGGCATGTTCGTCCAGCCTATATTCGACTTCCTAGGGGACACGCTGGATGTCGAACGACGAGATCCCCAGGGTCGCACGCTATTTCTTGCGGCGTGTCGGAGCAGAGTCGGTCCCGATGCTGCGACAAGTGGTGTCTATGGCGGTCTCAGCACAATCAACTACGACACTGGAATCCACGAGAACCCCTACCCCCAACCAGAGAATCCATGGAGGGAGTTCGAAGCCAAGAACTCGAAGGCTTGCACTGGGCCGACGTTCCTCTCGTTTTTCATCGCACGTGGAGCCGACCTACTGGCCGTTGACATTACGGGAAAAACGCCCTCCACCTGCTGTTTACCTATACCGATTGCGCTTGGATAGGTCTACCACCGCCTATCGATGTTACACTCGCGCACCTGATCAAAACCTGCCCCAGTCTTATAAATCAGCCTGACAAGGCTGGTACGTACCCTTTACATCTGGCCATCTGGCGAATGAACTCCATCATGATCCCAGCGCGCGGAAGCCCGACATCAATCTACCATTTCGAAACCGCGGTAGACTCCCTTCTCGCTGCAAATGCCGATACTGCTGTCAGAGACGGGCGCGGAAATACCGTACTTCACTACCTGGCTGGGAGTAGACTGGGAGAAAGGGATCGAATGGGTGATGAGCAAAGGCGATTTCTGCGGAGGTTTCTTGAGGACGGTGTTGATCCCAGAGTACGGAATGCGGAAGGCATGACGGCTCTGGAGATCTTCTGCACGGTCAGCTATGATGAATTCGGTGATGAGGGGTTTTATGACCGGTATTTTGCCATTGGGCAATATGTTATTGGCCAGTTTGAAAAGGCGGGCTACGATATCCAGGAGGCGAATACGAAGGGGCAGACTTTGCTGCATTTGGTTGCTGGGCTCACCTCGCCTGAGGGGATATCTTGGTCTGCATGGCCTTGGTTTCGACTCCTCCAGTCTAAGGGACTTGATCCTGTGGCGAAAGACGGGGAAGGAAAGACTCCAATCGACATTGCAGAGGAGAATGAGAGTATCAATGTTTGGTTGCAGGAAGAACGTGAATCCATGGCCGCATAGCTGTCAACAATATAGAGGACTCCTTGCTTTCAATGACCTTTTACGTGTCTAAAATCTCACTACAATATAGTTCCAGCACCAGTGAATCGTTTATAATGGTATTAGAACTTCAAATAACTTTAAATATAAAGTAAACACCCGAATAACCCATAACAAGGTATAGTTAATGGTATCTCATTGCGCATCAAAACCTGCCTATAAAGACGGAGATACTAAAGAATAATGCACCAGGCAAAAAGAAAGTAGCAATGACCGGACACAGTCCAGTCTCAGGCAAGAGTTGGCCACTCTTGTGTCAAAAGATATGGAAACACCTTTTGATAACAGAAAGTGACAAGATAAATCAAGAGTCCACGATACTGGAGTGGCGTGAAACCAAAGAAATAATAGAAGAAAAAGCTTCATAGCGGTCTACGCTCGCTCTCATAACATCGTGGGCATAGGCGTCATCAGCGAGAGTGTCTTTAAAGGGTCGACTGGACATCGACGGAGACATCATTCTCGATTTCCTTCATACACTTCTCAAACTCTGACCAATGATACATGACGCTCTTTGCGCCAATATCAGTCAGGGCCTTGGCCATCGCCTTCTGCGTATCATCACCATTGTAGCTGCCAACGTACGCGATCACGGGAATACCGGCACGAACCGCAGAAAGAGCACCAGACTTGCTGTCCTCGATAGCGACAGTCTCGGAAGCACGCTTGCCGACCTGCTCGAGAGCATACAGGTAGATAGCGGGGTCGGGCTTGGAGGTCGGCTTTGGCAGAGAGCTGGCAGCGCTGAAGACCTTGTTCTCGTCAAAGAACTTGTCCTGATCGACCTTCCGGATGGAAGCGAGCACGCGGCGCAACGCAGAAGATGAGACGACGGCAAGACCGTACTTCTTCGCGGCGAAAACCTTCTCTAGCTCCTCGGTGGCACCGATGCAGCTTTTAGCCTTGGCGTTCAACTTGGCAATGACTTGGTCTTCTTCTCTGATGACGTATTCTTCAAGCTTGTCCTCGTCGATCTGGAAGTCATACTTCTGCTGTAGAGAGATCAGCATGCCGCGGAAGTTCTGGCCGACAAAGTCTTTGATGAGTTGGTTGCCGGTGTAACGGTCGGGGATGTTGTTGGCCTCCAGAATCTCATTGGCCAGATCGGCACAAGCCTCGAAGGCTAGCTCCTCTGAGAGGACCAGAGTGTTGTCGCAATCGAAGAAGATTTCCGTGATCTGCAGTCCCCGTTAGTGTGGGTCTCTAATGGAAGAGATCGTGATCGTACCTTAGTCATGATGAAAGTGCGGATAATAGATCCGAGTGTTTGTTTATTTGTTTATTTGTTTATTTGTTTATTGAGAGGGGATGTGAGTAGAAGGGCAATTGGGAAGTGTGGTATGACCTAGAAGAGTGGGAGTTGGAGAGTTCGAGATGGAGAGAAGAGGAATGCCAGAAGGTACGGGAATCGGCGATTGGGGTATTTAAGTCGAGGCAGGACCCCCAAGAGATGACGCCGCAATCACAATATCCCAGGGGAAACCGGGCCAGGGCGGGAGGTATTGGGTACTTGGAATTGGGGTGTGTTCTACTAGTAAATACAAGTACTAGTACCTCAAACCTGGGGAGACGGCCAGATATTCAGCCAATAAAAAAGCACGGACCTATACAGGACTAGTCTCTTTCCGGTCTAGCGTCTCTTTCTACTCCGGGCAGGTGCGATGGGTTTCATCGCGTTTTCGCGCTTTTTCTCACCGGCGTCTTTCCTTCGCCTTCGACGTTGGGATGTTTGAAACCTGCCTTGATAGTCCCGTGATATTATTTACTTCTTTGCGAATTCTATAGTCAAGTGACTTTTAATATGCAAGTAACCCTCACCTGATCTCTAAACTATACATCCAAGACTGCAACATGACTGGATACAACTACGGAGTATACATCAGGCTACCAGGTCCAAACTCATGCACGGTCATGCCTCCGTCTTCTCACCGTCTACCCACTGTTCTCCGAGGAGAGGCTAAACCCCAATTCGCAAGGAAAGCCGGGGCACGGAATGATTGAGAAGTATACACAAGCATGTAGGCCCGACGCTCCGTCCGTTGGTCCATATTCCCGTGTCCTCTCCAGTCACTGGCGCGGTCAGATAATATCAAGTACGGAGTATGCACTTGGACGTTCGGAGCATGCTTGGCGGGGGCTAGAGAACTCCGATGTTAACCTTACCTCGGTACGGAGCACGGAGTGCATGCCATATAGTGCTATTCCAGTTCCGGTGGGCCATGAGCGATCCGACATATACCTCATTCTATTATCGCCATGGTAGTGCTTGAGTTGTGCCCAACCTTGGAGGCATCCATGGCTGTATTCTCGGAGCGCGACAGTCCGGAAGCTGGTTATAGACTTTCTGCATAGTAGGATTTGCGCAGTAATTATTTCAGCCAATAGACATGGCCATATTTACACCAGGAACCATGTAGCACCACTGTGGTATATACAACATACATCGCACGAACCCGGGTCCACCTCTTCCATACAATCATCATGATTGGCCAGACTCAAATTCCAACCCTGCTAATTCCACAACGGCTTTCCTTCACATTCGACCAGACCAAAAATAAAACATCGCAGCATAACGCCCGATCAATCAAAAGCAATCTAACCAGCACGACCCAGCATATCTCGGGCGAAATCGCCATTAGCACAGCCCGCATCCGAAACGTCTCCTAGTACAACCCCGGAGACTGGTCACTGAGTACGACCTAGCCATATTTGCATTCAAATATACTTGGCAATAAATTCCAACCAAAAGAAAGCCAAGCATGGGGTCCTCCTCGGATACTTTCCCGACTCTGGAGTCCCTCCATTTCCCGTCGGCGCAGCTGTCAATCTCCCAGACGCTTTCGTCGCTGCGTCGATCGGCGCTGTCCGTCGCCAACCGGCTCGAGTCTATCGAGACCGATGCCGCCTTTGCCCAAGACGTCGCGGATCAATATGGCTTACCGCTCGTTGCGAATGAGCGCTGCGGAAGCTGGTATATTCCGCCGACGGCCAAAGCCGGCAGTGCTTATTTTAAAAGCACCGATGGCCATACCGGTCAATGGGATTTTAGCTTTCGTAGGCTGAACTTGCAGTTGCTTCCGCTGGCTAGGGATCATGGGGGGTTAGTATAATTCCTGTTTATTACTTCTGCTTTTGCTTTTGGATTACATCTGTGTTGGGGTGCCCTTAACCCAAGTATAAACCATGGCAACAACTTCATCACTACACGATCATCCCAAGACATGAAAAGAACCAAAAAAGCTAACTATATTCTCTTTTCCGCTGCAGCTGTGTAATTGTGGACTCAACTCGCCGAGGAAAACGTATGTACCACCTCTATTTCTACCTTTTCCTTCCCCTACCCATCTAGTCGCCATGCATATCACGGCCACAACCAAGCCTCGGACCCTATTAACCCACCCCTAGTAATGCCAGACGCACTATCAAAAACCGTCCCAATCTGGAGCGCTGTGCTAAACAGAGCTCTATTCCCATCCGCAACCGCATACCACCCAGTCCGCCTTCCACCAGATTACCTAGGCGCATCAGAAGAAGCACAGATCGAGAACCGAATTGACGGATTCGTGCATTCACTCAAGGTACGCATGTTCCATTAACGATGAACTCCCACATACAACATACCCTTGCACCGCACACCGCTCGCTCATCCATAGCTGATATTTAACGCCAGAACCTGAAACTCGATCTAGATAATCTGCGCCAGCAACTCGGAAAACCAATCCAGATCGCATGGGCCAACAGGACGTATTTCCACCCGCCGGACCTACACACGAGCGATGAGTACAATCTACTCGTACTGTGCTCCGCTTCGAGGCGCGTGCTTGGCGCTGAGATGTCCGAGGGCGGATACATCCAAGGCGCGGGCGATGATAGCGAGGCGTGGGCGTATGGGCTGACGCCACCGGTGTTCTGGGCTAATCGGGATGTTTTGAAGAGTACACCTGAAGACGAATTGCCGGTGCTTATTGAGCGGCTGGTGGCGGAGCATAAGCTGTTGGATGTGGTGCAGGATGCGATGCTTGTTTCGCCTACGCGCAATTTGTATATTGGCTCTGGAGCTGGGGTTGATGTTGGGGGTCGGTATGATCTTGTCATTGATTGTAATGGGAGTGCTGCGGCTGTGGAGGGTAATGCGAAGCGGCTGAATTTGGGCTGTGATTCTGGGAAATTGGGGAGTCGGGATCTACGGAAATGTCTGGATAAGGTGCGTGAGTTTATTGGCGTCCGTCTTGGGGCGGATCCGGCGCTGTCGGTGCTGGTTACCTGTGAGAGTGGGAAGGACCTTTCGGCTGGGACGCTTCTGGCGATCATTTGTCTCTTTTATAACGATGAGGGTATGTATGCAATGCCCCAGATGATCTGGGTGATGAATTCAAACGCTATGTGGAAAAAAAATAACTAATTGTTTTCACAGGCGGCTTCGATGCCTCACTGAGCAAGCGCGCGATCAGCAAGCAGTTCATTCGACAGCGTCTAGCCTGGCTCGTGTCGTCGAAGCATGACGTGAACCCCTCTCGCGCCACGCTTCAATCTGTCAATGCTTTCCTGATGCAGCCGCCGGATTATTGACCTCGAGCAATGTGATTACATTGCGTCGGTTGGTCGGACCTGATTGGTTTCGAAGCGGGTCATTAAGAATATGCCCCAGAGATCGCTCATTCGTTGTCCACGGCCTCCACGATAGCGCCGGCACTGCCCTGGTCGAAGGAATCCAGCACAGCCATATCCTCCACGCTGATGTCGAAGTCGAACACATCCGCATTGGACACGATTCGTTCGGGGTTGTCGGTCTTGGGCAGAGGCACCCATCCCTTCTGCATCGCATAGCGGATCAAGACCTGCTGAGTCGACTTGCCGTATTTCTTTGCCACTTCGACTAGCGTGGGGTCGTTGGCTTTATAGTTTCGCACCAGGGGCGAATATGCCTCGAGGATAATGCCGTTCTTCTGGCAGTATTCGCCGATGACGCGCTGCTGGCACCACGGGTGAAGCTGCAAGAATAGAATAGTCAGTGACCCGATCAAACCGAGAACTATCTACGTAGATAGAAAAGTAATAGAAGCAGAGCACGAACCTCGAGTTGATCAACGTGAGGCGGGAACACTTGGGCATATGAGCGCATCTCCTCGATGTGCCCCACACCGAAGTTGCTAACACCGATACTCTTCGTCTTGCCCGCCGCGTACAGCTTCTCAAGCGCCTGCCACAGAACCTTTCGCCCAGCAGAGCCCGAGCTGGAGGAGTGAATTAAGAACAAATCGACATATCCGTCCGCGCCGCCGATCTTGTGCACAGAAGCCAGCAATTTATCGTAAGTAGCCTCGACCGAGGCTGCGGGGCTGAGGATCTTGGTCGTGACGAAGATCTGGTCTCTGGGGACGCTAGTGGTGCGCAGTGCCTCGCCGACTTCCGCCTCGTTGGCGTAGAACTGTGCTGTGTCGATGTGTCGGTAGCCTGCTTCCAATGCCTTCAGGCAGGACTGCACACACTGGTTTGGCGGGGAGCGGTAGACGCCGAAACCGAGGCGCGGGATGCCGACGCTCGAATTCGGGAGGGGGAGAAGATCGGTGATCTTGAAGGAGGCGGACATCTTGGAGATATTCAGGGGTATTGTTGTTTGCGAAAGAAAATTAGTTGAGAGTTGTGAGTATTTCAAGAGAATCATCTCCTGGCCCCGCTTTGCGAAATGAGGTCATTCCGGATGACTAAACGAGTAAACTCAAAATACGACAATAACCGCAATAGTTAAGTTAAAGAGCAGATAGCTACTGATAGCTACTTATTTAGCTGTTTATTTAGCTGTCTGTTCAATCATCTCTAATATTACCTATTTACTCCTATTCACTGCCAATAGCCTAGCAATGTAAACACTTGTGCCTGCATTGTACCTGGCCAAAGAATTGCGTGATGCCATTTGACCTTACACTTGTTTTATACAGCTATTGCGCCATCGAGGAACATTGCGGGGCTGCAGAACAATATAGAGTGTTTTGATAAGAATCAGTAACTACTTTCGGTGTCTTTGTCATTTCTAGTAGATTCTTATTTGGCTTCTCTAACCGCCAGTGCGCTGTAGTTATCAGATTTTGCCTACAGGAATATATATCACACCAATTCAAAGGCTAACTATTGTTGTATATAGAAATGTCCTTAGTTGTACGGATTATGCTTTTGCCATCTTCTTCCTTCCGTTTTAAGAACTACTATAGATAGGAAGGCGCAACCTAACTGAGGAAACAAACTATAACCGCCTCCTCCCTCTTCCTATGTATATAAAATAACAATTCTCCGCTCACAAACAATACCCCCAGATGTGGTTTCAAGCTCATATAGCAAATATCAATGTTCATACGAAATTATGACTACGTTCCGCTAGATGCCTGAATATTCTCGCCCAACCCCCACTGCGGGCTGGGCGGTGTTGAACCGGTGACAAGCCAATTTAACAAGCTTGTGGCAGACGGAAAAAACCTTATGTTGTATGGATAGTGTCCCATATTCGGTGCTATTCGGTGAATTCTGTCATATATCATGCTCGCTGCTTCCATGGTTTCAATATCAAAGATCTTACACTACAGTCATATATATCCCCACCCACCCCAAAGCCTCGACACAAATGACTCCTTGCAGCTGAAACCCGACAACTAAACCTCTGGAAAGGCTCTTTGCTAGTACGGCAAGATTCGCAGCGTTCTGTGAGCTGATATGAGCCACTTCACCATGGTAGTGTTCTGGGCACAATGATCTTCTATCATCATGCAGACAAAGATCTAGAGCAGTCCATGAGCGGAACACATGTGCTATGACAGATAGCTTCCATATACGGAACAACAGACCCACTCGCTCTCTTTAAGGTATGACCCAAAATTGCCGAAATCACCAATGAGTAAACGCTGGAAATACGAAGCTAAACTCGGAGATTCTTCTCTCTGGCGAACCGCATCCCGAAAATCACCGAGCCTCACAGGCATGGTCCGTCATATCAGGCTTGATAGCTTGAATGCGGGGATAGAATAAAAAGGAAATCAAGTTCGAGAGTGGTGGGAGAGCTCATAATATGTCCTAGAACTAGGAAGCTATATAACTACACACGGTGGCGAGCGAGGATTATACCGGTAGCCCTCCTCTTGCTGATATCAGAAGAAACAAACATTATGCCTCACACCAAAGAAACCGGAAATAAGAGACGCCGTTCCTATTCTTCTCATCACGTTACCCATTTCATTAAGCGAGCCCATGTCGTTGTTTGTCTTATTTGTGAATATGTAGTGGCATAAACCGACCGCCCTTAGGATACCTATAAGAAGGCAGCCCTGCCCCCAAACCTTCCTCTTCTTTTCTTCCTTCTTCAGCTCTCTTTGCCTCTGGCTTAGATTTGGTGTAGTATCTGTTCTGGTCAGTTTAATCGCTGATAGTCCTGCATTGCAGGTCATTTCTGATTATTCTAATATTTGGACCTCGCGACTTGGTCTCTGTGCTTGCGCATGCCTCGTTGCACTGTGTCATTGGGCTTACACTACCCCTGATTGATGCGAACTCCTTTTCATCAACTGTTCGGCTTGTCTGGGCGCTTGGAGAAGATTTCTGTTTGGGTCCTATGTTCTTGTCGAGTGGTTTCATTGATTACAGTGTTGATTAACACAGGTCAAGAATAATTTTGGAGTTCC